CTTCCTCTCTCCCTGCTCCTCCTTAATCTCTCCCCCTCCCTAATCTCAGGGGAAACAGGGTTACCTTTCTTCCCCATCCTAGACAGAGTTGTCTGTCCTTGAGCACACACCCACCACAGGAAGGAAGTCATACAGACTCTGGGATGGCATCAGAAGATCTCAGAAATCACTATCTCCCAAATTAACAAGGAATGGCCACTCCAACAGAGAACATGGGGAATGTAGCCTTTGAATCCCTCTTTAAAAGCCCCCTGTTCTTGCTGATAGTCAGAATCACAGCTTCTGGGACAGGAGTCCCCCCAAGTTTCTCCTTTGCTAACAAAGCAATAAACCTTTCTTCTTTTTTCTCAAAACAGTGTCCTCGTTACTGGATTGCACTGGGGACAAGGACTGAGCTTTTAGTAACAATCTCTGTTTTGAAATATTTATCTAACCTTGACAGGGACCCTGGAGCTTCTGATATTCCTCAGTACTTTTTTTTTTTTTTTTTTTTTTTAGAATTGTTTTGGCTTCCTTTCTTACTCCATCCTACCCATCTCCCCAGATGGAGAAATACACCAGGCTTCAGTCAGTTCTTTCCTTTTAGTTGTATTTCTTTTACTGCCCTCATTTTGTCCAGTATTCAGGCATCAAAGTTTCTGGTCTTAACTCTTTCATTTGTAACTGCCTCTGGAGTTTTGATTCTATATCTCCACTTATATGCTTGATATCTTCATTTATATCTTTGACAGATACTACAAATTCAACCTGTTTGACATTGAACACATCTTTTGCCCAAATTAATGATACCTCCTGATGTATTTATGCAATACTTATGTTCCTGTCATTTTTAATTTCAACTCATCTCAAACTATGTAAATCACCTCTGATTTCTCCTCTCCTACCTTCCATATTTCATTTGTCTTCTTTTGTATTTTCTTGCACCTTTCCCTCTCTTCTTTGCATTTTAAACCATGCCTGGGCATAAGCCTTCCTTAGTCCATTATCTAGGTTACTACAGTTGCTTTCAACGTGTTTTCTAGATCCCAGGATCTCCTCTTAATTAATCTTGAATGTTGCCGCCAAGTCAGTTGACTCGCTCATTAATACTGCCCCTTTATTACAATAACTTGAGGCGTCTTACAGTTTGCCCTTATACTTTTCTACTCAAAAACTCTAGGTGACTCCTGAGTTTGAAATTGGGATCTTGGAAAACGTAAATCACTTTTACTTTTGTTTCACTTACAAATAAGCAGACTGAGGCTGCTGCTGGGTGTGAATGGCACCCGGTTGCCTCTCCAGCTCTGTATGGAGGTGTGCCTGATATTTGGTGGTTCTGAAAACCTCCCTTGAATGAAGAATTTGCTAGGGGCTGGGGATGTGGCTCAAACGGTGGCGCACTAGCCTGGCATGCATGCGGCCCGGTTCGGTCCTCAGCACCACATACAAACAAAGATGTTGTGTCTGCCGACAACTAAAAAATAAATATTAAAAAATTCTCTCTCTCTCTCTTAAAAAAAAAAAAAAGAATTTGCTAGGTCAGAGCAGCTTTAAACTCCAGCATCCCTTCCTTTTCAATTTTGTTTGGCTTGTCAGAGTTGAACCAGGGAAGTAGAATAAAATGAAACCTATTAAAGACTCCTAATAATCTGCCCCTCATCTGACTTTTCAGTCCTCTATTTCCTTGCACATATGAACTTATTTCCACCATAAATACAATGTGAACCTTTTTCTTCTTCAACACATTGCTGTCCTGGGTTCCCTGCCTCCAAGTCTCTTTTCAAATTTTACTCTTTAAGCCCCGGATATCGCCCTATATTCTCTGAGAAACTTTTCCAACTAACTCAAAGTAGAGTAATTTCTCCTCTTTCTGAATTTTTCTAACAGCTATTTAAAGTGTCATTTATCGACACTAAATAAAACAAACGAAACCACTTATTTATTGTCAGCTTTAACCTTTCTTTCCAATTACACATTGCTTTTGAGGGCCGGGCTGTCACTTATGTTTCCAAGTCTAAGCACTTCACAGTTGTGTGGTTGGTTCATGGTTGTTGCTTAATGAAATGGTGGTGCCCATAGAAACACCTTCCCAGGGAGGCTGAGTGTCTGCTGCTGGTGAATTGACTGGTGAGATTGGTATGTGTTTGGGTTCATGAGAATCAGTGAACCTCCTTCTGTTCCTTTGGTGGTGGAGGATCCTATGATCCCAGAAGCATGTAGGAGAATAGTTGTGAAGGGACTAGATGAAAGAATGTGAATAATGAAGGAAAAATAACCAGAATTTTGACCACTTTTAGGCTGTAGGACCCAAGTAAAAGGAAATTTTAAAACATCCTTTCCTTCCATGTATGGGTAACTCCACCTTCATATTCAAAGCACAGCAAGTAATTAATCTCTCATATGCAAGGGAACAAAGCACATGAAACCAACTTGGTAAATGTTTGAAGGTGGTTAAAAAAATAACAAAAATAAAACCAAACATATGAAAAGCAGCATTAGTACTTATTCACACTTTGGGAGTCCAGAACTTATTAATCATGAATGGAATTTTGATAAACAAAAAGTTTTGGAAATAAAGTTTAGGGATCACATGATTTTTTTCTGTTGGGTTAAATTAGCCATCACCGGGGAAAACTGCAAATGCTGAAGGGTTGATGTCCATCCTAAGAGATGCATGTGACTTATGTTCCCTTTAGGTGAATTTGAGATGTGAAGCATTTAATCAACTTGATCCTACTTTTTAATCACTGCTCTAAAAGAAACTTAAAAAAAAAAAACTATTGATTAAATAAAAACAGCAATAGATACAATCTGCCCCGAACAAACAGACCTTACATCAATAAGTGAATACTTAGCTTAAGCTATTCTCCACGAGACTCATTAAGCATTTCTAATTGAAAATTAACAAGCTCCCACCCAGCAAACACTCTAATCTTCAGCTCTTCAGTTCTGAAAGGGAAAGGTGATGCAAGATGTAGAAGCTTTTTAATGTAGCTGGAAGGGAGAGTAACTGTGCAGTTGTGTGGTATAATTTTTTTAATTGCTGAGGTATCATTGTTTGTTATTTTACATTTATTGAAAAATGTAAATAGCACATTTAATGGAATAGCAATAAGCCTTTTTTCCAATCTGATGACTTAATCTTACTAATCATGATAATATATTCTAGCTGGAGTTGGGGATATTTAACAAAATACTGCAATAAATTTGTTGTGCTTTCGTTTCAAGGGAATTAATAAAAGTAGCTTGTCTGCAACACTTAAAACTTCATTGCCTTTATATTTGTGTGAGACAGTGCAGGGGAGATCACCAGTGAGAATGCAGGTACCTCTGTGAAGAGATTAGTCATGCGACACATGTGTGGGTGGGCAGGGACTGAGTTATAACACACTGAATAGGAAGGTAAAAACATTAGCTGTTAGCAAGATTTTTCCTTTGTCTGGGCTTTCCATTTTTGAGTCACCTTTATGTACATTTATTTTCATTCGAGCACCATAATCCTCTGAAGTGACAGGTCAGACAGTCCATCCTCCTTTTATAGAAGAGAAAACTTGAGCTTTGAGAGATTGCTCTGTTCTAAATCACAAAAGTGGCATCCAGGGCTTCTATGTCAGAAAATGTATATCAATTATTCACCAATCCTGTATTTATATGTAGGTACATGTATATATACACACACATGCATATGGCTGTCCTGGCACCTAACTTTTGTCCTAAGGGCTTTATGGCAACTGGAAAATTGTTATAGCACTATTTTGTTGTAGGGGTTGGGAACGATTGTGCAAAATCTCCTTTCCCTTTCCCTCCATAGAAAAGGGAGCAAATGTGGGACCCTGGGAGCCTTAGGCTCCAGTACAGCTGTGTTAGTGCACAACTTTGCCTAGGTAAGTTTCTTGCTAAGTCGGAACTGAAAGCTGAAAAGTGACTGTATATAAAATGAATGGGAAAGGGTAAAAACAGTTGATGAGATGTACTCAAAGTCAAACCTTTTTTAAAAAAAATATTTATTAGATTTTTTAGGTGTGGTTGGACACATGCCTTTATTTTATTTACTTATTTTTATGTGGTGCTGAGGATAGAACTCAGAGCCTCACACGTGCTAGGCAAGCGCTCTACCGCTGAGCCACAACCCCAGCCCCCAAAGTCAAACCTTGGTGGTTTTGTTTTTGTACCTTTTCCTCCTTTTTTCCCCCCAGAAGAACAATCAACATTTGTGATTTGAAGTTCACTAGGGAATTCCGGAGATCCATTTAAAGAACTAGTGCTAGTTTAAAATGGTTAAAAGGTGAGTGGGGGTGGGGGAAGAAGCAAAATCCTAGCGCAACCCATAAATCTATTTTGCATCGTCTTTCTAAGGCTTCTTAGATGGCGGGGGTCAGGGGGGCGGGCAAGGAAAGGCCACCCCTCTCCTGGTGCCAAGGTGGGGTGCATCTCTCTGAAAGCACCTTACCTAAGGGAAAATCTGCCACATAACCTTTCTCTAAGCACAAGGCAAAGTTCAAACGTGGCCCTCCCTCTACAATGTCAAGACAATTCCTAGCAATGTCAAAGTCAATCCGAAGCTTCCCTCGTCCTCCAAGTCGGAGAAAAGAGAAAGCAGGTGCTTGCCCGCCGGTGGGCTCCGAGAGGGCCCCGCGAAGACCCCGCGCCAAATGGGGGAAAGTTGGGCTCCACTGTTTCTCCCAGGAGGGCTCGCTGATGGCAAAGAGAAGGTGGCGCTCAGAACTTGAGCGTCGCGGAAATATCCTGTGGGGCTCCCATGAGCTGCAAGGAACAGGTGCCCTTCCTCCGACGTCCAGAATCGACATTGGCCGCACTTGACCGGCTGTCGCGCTGCGTCCCGGGGCGCCCCTCGCCCTTTGCGCCCGGGTCCCCCCTCCCATACCAGGGCGGAGGGAGGCGCCTGCTCATAGGTAATTATTGCCAGCGGGGCCCATGGGGAGCGGGGGTGGGCGCCGGCTGGGGCGGGAGGGAGCTGAGCGACTCGGGCATAAAGGGGCACGGCGCAGGGCCCCAGCACCAGGTTCCCGCGCAGCATGCCGGCCAGCGCCCCTCCGCGCACCCCGCGGCCTCAGCGGTTGCTGCTGCTGCTGCTGGCCCTGAGCGGCCGCTGCCTGCGCGCCGAGCCCGGCGACGGCGCGCAGACCTGGGCCCGCTTCGCGCGCCCTGCGGCTCCGGAGGCTGCAGACCTGCTCCACGACACTTTCCCCGACGGCTTCCTCTGGGCGGTGGGCAGCGCCGCCTACCAGACCGAGGGTGGCTGGAGGCAGCACGGCAAGGGCGCATCCATCTGGGACACGTTCACTCATCACTTTCCGGGGACCCTGGGCGATCCCCCGACAGCTGATCTGCCGTCGGGCGCTCCATCACCTCCCCCGCCCGCCACAGGGGACGTGGCCAGCGACGGCTACAACAACGTTTTCCGAGACACAGAGGGGCTGCGCGATCTTGGAGTCACCCATTACCGCTTCTCTATCTCGTGGGCACGGGTGCTCCCCAATGGCAGCGCGGGAGCCCCCAATCGCGAGGGGCTACGGTACTACCGGCGCCTGCTGGAGCGGCTGCGGGAGCTGGGCGTGGAGCCCGTGGTCACCCTGTACCACTGGGACCTGCCCCAGCGCCTGCAGGACGCTTACGGCGGCTGGGCCAACCGCGCCCTGGCGGAACACTTCAGGGATTATGCCGAGCTCTGCTTCCGCCACTTCGGTGGCCAGGTCAAATACTGGATCACCATCGATAACCCCTACGTGGTGGCCTGGCACGGCTACGCCACCGGACGCCTGGCCCCAGGCGTCCGGGGCAGCCCGAGCCTTGGGTACCTGGTGGCGCACAACCTTCTTCTGGTGAGTGCGAGGGGGGGAGAGAGGGTCTGAGAGAGGGTCTGAGAGGTGCCAGAGGCACGAGGGGCGCCTGAGTCTCCAGCTCTCACACGAGGCCTCGCTTGAACTGCTTTGTGGGGTCACTCAGGATTCGCACCTCGCGAGGCAAGTGAGAAGCTTGGGCTGTCCTTGAAGGCGTGGAGTTAGGACCTGCAGGGAAGTCCTTCAGAGAGCGCGCGAGTGAGTGCCCCTTGGAGCGCATTTATCCAAAGGAAATAGGAATCAGTTTCTCCTGTAAGGAAAGAGGACTTTCTCTGGTGTTGAGGAATTCTAGAGGGAAGAGTGGCAGGGATTTCCTTGTGGCAGCAGTAGGGAGAGAAGGAGGAGGATGGATGAAAGCAACAAGTGCGTTCACAAGCCACTCAGACGGGCGGGCATTGCAATCAGCCAGAGATCAGTGTTAATCCGTTAAAACCTTTTTTACTTGAGGCTCAAGGGCACACTGCTTCAAATGCAAAGGTGTCAAATCCGCACCTCTGGGAGGGTCGGGTTTAACCCGCGTTTGGAGATTCCTTCTGCCCTAGGGCAGAGGACAACATTCACACCAACCTTACTCAGTCACCAAGGGTTTGAGGACCCCTTTACACAGTCTTAAATAAAGCTAGGCACATAAACAATACAGAACCAACTGCAGGATGGTATAGATTGTGTCTGCAACATCTGTATTTCCCCAATGCTGTCTCTAGTTGAAAGGATTCCTAACTGATGAGATTATTAGCCTGACAAAAGTAATTTTAATACCCTTGTGCAAAAGATCTCATATATTTTGACAGCAGGATATATTGATATGCCATGATAAAACTGTCTCTCAATTATTGCTTCCTCCTTTTCTGCTTAATGTTCAAATTCCTATTGGTTTGAGGGCTCATGCCAGTCCTTTCGGTACCCCTTTTGGGTGACTTGTGGATCTACTGGAAGATATATTTTTCAATTTAGAATAAAGCCACATATTATGAACAAATTCAAGATGAAGACTTTCTAAACACTTTTAATGAAAGCCATAGATAATTGAGGCAGAACAGTACTGGGTTATTGAGTTGCTTTAGTGCTCTGAGCTGCGGGTAATGTAATAATGGGGAAATTAGATTGCATGTCTGCTTCACAACCTTGTTTGTTACCATCGGTAATGCAAGAATGTCAAATTTATTTGACAAGTTGTGATTTTGCTGATCATATTCATATATATATATATATATATATACACACACACACACACACACACACACACATCTTCTCATAGGGTTACTTAAATTTTTTCTTCTGTAAGTCCTTTTAAGGAACCAATAAGCTCTAACCATCACCAGTTGATGGTAGGTAGTAGAAAAACTATGGGTAGAACTGCCTCATCTTTTGAAGAAAACTTAAGCAAATGGTCAGTTCATGCCACAAACAAATAGGAGATTAGTGGACTAGCTTGGGGGGATCTGATACACCAGTCTTGTAAAATCACTATTTAATATTTAAATGATACAAGATCTATTTTTAGAGTGCATACAACAAACTATATGTACACAAAAGTAGTTGGTTGTTATTATATTGACCAAAGATCATTGCATTTATAAGATAAGGAATTGCAAGAACTCTCTGGTGTTCTGGTATTTCAAATGATTAACACATTTTAGGTTCTTGCGTCCACTCTTGACCCTGTGGTTAACTTTTCAGTTACATTTTTGAGGAATTACACAAAAAAAATTGCCAACACTAACCATCCGTCCTAGAAGTGCAGTGGACTTTGTATTCATAAGAAATTAGTGACTGATAGACACTAGGCTTGGTTTTGCTGATGCTGCAAACACAATGTTAGTTGTAAAATATTAAGTTTCCTTTCAAATTTGTTTGGGCTTGGAATTTAGTCATTTTTGTATCTCATTTAGAAGTTGCCATTATTTAGGAGGGTATCTTAAATTTGCTTTGTTGTGTGAAATTCTTTAATTCTGTTTTCAATGTTCTTTCTAGATGTGTGTAGTGGGTAGAGGGTTGGATAGTTCATTTTTTACCTTATCTGAAAAAGAGAAAACTTATTCTGCAGATTTTGGTAATAGAATATTTCTTCTGAGGCTAGATGTTGCTTTTGTGCAGAGTTAGAGACCAGGGAGCCCTTAGCATATTAATTACCATCTGGGGATCTAATGCTGGTGAAGGACAAAGCTGGCCCACCCCACCCCACACCTCTCTGTTTCCACTAATTTTCAAGTGGCTTAGGAATACTGGGGAGAATGGACAGTTGAACCCCACAGAGATTCCAGAATCCTTGTCTGATGGCCTGGAGGTTAGGAGGCAGGGCAAACAAACAGCAGGACAAATAATGGGGGACTCTTCACAGTGGAGGTCTCCATGATCCTCTCCCGGGTTCCTGGTATAGGCATGAGCCTTGACAAAACTTGTGTGTTGGGGAGGATGGGGTGGGGTGGGAGAGACACCTTCAAGAGGAATTTCTCTTCTTCTCTGGCTTAAAAATGGTCTGCTCAGCTTTCATGGCTCTTGAAATAGGGTTCTTGATGTCCTTGAAAAACCAGCATTAAGTTTTGGAGTCTAGCCCCAGGAGCACTTTTGAGATTTTGTTTTGCCCCTGGGTTTCTGAGAGGATCAAAACCAAGTTGAAGATACAAGTATCTCTAGCCCTGCCTGCCCACAGGAGATGCTTGTCAGTACTGACTGGTGTTCAGTGTAGCATGAAAGCTCCTGTCTTGGCTCATCTGTCCTGTGCAGCATGCATCTAAGCCTCTGCACATCTAAAGCCCCCCTTCTTGCCACACTTCCTCAACTTGGCTTCCAGACCCCTGCTCTCGTGTTTCTCTTCTTAGCTCCTTAGTGATTCCTTTTCCTTCTCTGTTGTTTCCTCCTTTTCACTTCATTTGGAAAGAGTGGAGGGTCCAGGGCTGTGTCCAGGGCATCCTGTCTAGATTTACTCTAGGGATCCCATTGTATAGTCTCTGTATCCTGACAATTCCAGATTTTGTGTCTCCAGCTGGGACTTCTCCCCTGACCTCCAAACCTGGAGAGATAACTGTCTTGTCCTCTTAGCTGTCTAATGGGTGAGTTACAAGTAACACGTTTAAAACCCAATGCCTGCTGTACCCGCCTCTGTTATGGTACTTAGCTTTTCCTGTTTGTTGGGCCCCAAATCTCAACTCTCCCCTTTCTCTCACATCTGGGTGATAGGAAGAGCCTCCTACCTGGAGCCCATGCTAATGTCCTTGCTCCCTGCAGTCCCAGTTTGTCACTGTGTGTGAACAAGACAGGTTTCTGCTTGTTAAAATCCAACCTATTCTTCAAGAACCAGCAAGCTCACTCTTTTGGCTCCATCCCTGAATGCTACCTTTCTCTTCTCTGGAATCCCACAATACATTGCTTCACTCTGGTGCCTCTTACCGCATTTCCTCTTTTATTTAACCACTAGCTGGACAGTTCCTTAAATGGGGGAGCCTTGTTCCCTTTACCTGCTTCTCCTAAAATGGTATCATGCCCTTGGTAGGTGCTCAGGGGGTGGCTTCTGGCTACTGAATAACCTTGTTTTGCCTTTATAAATTTGTGCTTCTGGGATTTTCTCTCCTTGCCAGTCTTTCTAGCCATTTTTCAGTGGAACAGGAAATACCAAATCCTATCCAGATAGAAAAACCAGTGAACATAATGATGTAGCATCTGACATTTACAGTGAATATTTAAGGTTCATCACCAAATTTATGACTCCATTGTAAAAACTTCCAATCTAAAACTATCTATATTCACTATATAGAGCATTATGAGATGTTTTCAAAATGGGGTGAATGGTAAAGTCTCTTGGTTAGCTTTAGGCATATATGTATTTGCTATCTGGTTGAATTTTCATTCCCCAAGTAATAAGTGTAAGCAAATCATCTACTACATGTATGTTCAAATTATATATACTATGTACTTTTAGGAAGCACTTTACAAATTTTCCTCTCATTAAAATGTATGTGGTACATGGCTGGGTTCAAAGGTAATGTATTTTGTAGAACATGACTGAATGCAATCCCCACTCAATCAGAATTAGTTTAAATGTTTTCCAAAGAGCTTGACTCACTCCTCTTTGAATAGCTGATTGAAGACAATATTTTCTGAAGATTACAGACAAATCCAAGAAAAAATTTAAAATAGGAAAAGAACTAATAAAATAATGTTAAAAATCATAGCACTACTTTAACAACATCAATTATTTTGAGTTGAAGATGGAAAATGTAAACTGATAAGCATCTAAATAAGGTCAGTGTGCATTTCTCAAGTGTAAAATGAGTGAACCGTGACACCTGCATATGTAGTCAGTCACAGCTTTGCACACAGGAACTTTCTGAGTTATCTTAGTGTTTCAAAAAGATATCATTGCTCTAAACCATAATTTTATTATAATCGATTTGTGCAAAAGGTGACTTTCTTTCAGTGAAGGTTATGTTTTTTAGATATAAAGGAATTTTAGGTGTAGGAGGACATAGAACATATGTCTATTGGGAGGGTAGCAGATAAAGAGGGGGTGACTAAAAATACCTATTGTTATTAAATCCTCCAAAATGCACATCTTCTCCAGAAATGTTACAGGAAACATTGTACTTGTAACCTATATTTAAATAGAACCATAATATACATTTTATATGCTCTATTTTGTGCATATTTTATATGCACAGTGGTACAAAGTTAATCTGAAGGATATATATATCTCTTCTCCCCTTCATCTTGGATAAACCAGTTTATTGTCCAATTTGGGGACAACAACTGGCAGAGTGGATCGTTTACTCATCTGTGGCTATTTGAGGGCACAGACTACATATCATATTTATTTTCAAATTTTTAGTGTTTATGTCAGTATTTGACACAGAGGAACTATTCCATCTACTTCCAATGAATAAATAAATGTATATGCAAAATATTTTCTGCTTATTTCAATATGTCCATTTTCTTGTAAGTTAAATGCTTATAGTTTGCTTTTTCCTGCTTTATCTTGGGAGAAA